TTCTATCCTCCCTGGTCATTGTCCAACTCTCTGATGCATCACAAGTGATTGCGAAGACAACAGTAATAGTAATAGTAATAGTAATAGTAATAGTAATAGTAATAGTAATAGTAATAGTAATAGTAATAGTAATAAAGAAGGATTAACTATGAAAGTGACCCCTGTGAATGTGTAGTATGATCTTGAAGGAAATGCAGCCAGAGCGCTCCCTTAAGAGGCAGGGATGGTGGAACTTCCTCTCACATACTTCGGACGTGCTGTCAGGAGGGGCTAATCCTTGTAAGAAGGCATCATGCTGAGAAAGGTGGAGAATGAGAGAAGGAGAGGACGACCATCAACAAGACAGAGTGAGCCAGTGTCTGTAACAGCGCGACACAGATGGTGAGGACGGCACAGGATAGGGCCGGGCTTCAATCTACTGTCCACAGGGGTGTCGGCAGCTAGAATCCACAGCACCCAACAACAACAACAACAACAACAGCCAGACCGCTGGAGGTCTTCACTCATGCTGGTCATAGGCCTCCTTTACAGCTGAGAACACTGAGGCCAGAGGGCTCAGGGACCCACAGAGGTGGAAGTGTAGACCCAGGATCTTCTGCCCAAGTCCAGAGCCTTGACCTCCTGAGGCCACAGCAGGGTTTAACCCGGCGCAGCTGGACGCCACGCTGGGTCTCATGCCTTGACAGCCGTGTAACATGGTCTCTGAGCCTCAGTTTCCCCACTGTAGTGGAGAAAACAATCATAACCTCGGTGGCCAGCAGAGGATGCTACAGCAGAACTCAGCCCAGAGACTGTTTCAAATAGCCCCTAATAAGTGGATGCTGACTGTGCCTTCTACACGGTCCCTGGGCGGGTGTTGAAAACGGAAAAGAGGAGCAGTTCAAGTGCACCTAGAGGGGCCTTCAGATAAAGGCCCTGTGAGTGACACTTGAAAATTGCAGGGAGCATGATCACCCCCGATGCTGTGTGGGGTTGAGCCAGAAGGCAATCAACAGCAATTACTGGTGGCCTCGTGGCAAGAAGCTGTATTGCAATCCCAAAGGCACATGGTTCGAATCCACCACCTACTCCACAGGAGAAGGACAGGCAATCTCCTCCCATGTGATTTACTTCCTCTGAAAACCCACTGGAGGGTCAGCTATGGGTCAGTTCTGATTTGCCGGCACATAAAAATAACAACAACAACAATCAATCAAATAATCTGACAGCATTGCTGGTTCAAACCCATCAGTTCCTCCACAGGAGAGGCAGCCGTTCTGCAGACAATGGTAGGCTTGTTTTGCTGGGCGAGATGCTATGGGCCCAGCATGAGCTGGGGGCATGGACACACAGGGATTCAGCCCAGGCCCTGCCTGCCCTCCAGGCACTCACAGTCCAGGCAGATGGTCAACAGCCGTGAGCCCCACCCGGCCATGAAGGACATGCCAGGAACTAGGTGCAGCATGGTCCTGTCCCGAAGCCCCTCCGATGTGAGTCATGAGGTCAGGCCCGTCTTTCCCACACCCTGTACCTGGAGCTGGGTCTCCAGCTGGCCTTGAAGGAGGTCCATGGCTTTGGCCCTCTGCTTTCCGGCGTCCAGGCGCAGGTGCTGGTGCTGGGTGAACTGGGCCAGGAACCTCTGCTGCTGTGACAATAGCCTGTGGGAGGAAGGGGACAGTCAGTGCTGTCCGGGCCAGCAGGGTCACCAGGGAACTGAGGGCAGTGGGTGGTGCGGGCACGGCCTGGCTCACCTGTGCTGGACGGTATTGCGGGCTCCGGCCAGCACGTTCCCGAGTGGGTGGTCAGCATGGTCCTTCTTCCGCAGCCTGAAGGCCTCCAGTCTCTCATCTAGAGGCAGGACATATAGTCATCGGGGTGCTGGTGGGGCGACTGGGGCAGGGCCTGGTGGACGTGGCCTTGTGTGAGGCATGTGCGTGAGTGCGTGTGAGGTATATGCACGTGTGTAGTATGAGCTATGTGTATGTGAGGTAGCGGTGTTGGGTGCCATCGAGCTGAGTACAACACATGACGATCCTATCTGGACACTGTCCCGTCCTGTGCTGTCCTCACTGTCTCTGATACACTCAGCCCACTGCTGCGGTCACTGTGTCAGTCCGCCTGGCTGAGGGTCTTCCTCTCCTTCACCCCCCCTCCACCATTCCACTTAGGTCGTCTCTCTCTAAAGAATAACCTTTCCTAGCCACATGCCCAAAGTACGTGAGACCAAGCTTCACCAGCCTTGTCTCCAAGGAGCGCTCTGGCCACATCTCGTGCAAGACACACCTGCCTGTTCTGGAAGCCCATGGGATGTTCAGTACTCTTCTCCAACACCATAGATCAAAGGTATTAATTATTTCAATTTTTCTTCTGTCACCCTTTTCACTGTCCAGCTCTCAGATGCATAGCAAGTGATTGAAAAGATCATGGCTTGAATCAGGTGCACCTTAGTCTTCAAAGTAACATCACTGTATTAGTAGCAGTACTGTATCTCAATATTTTGGAGAGATCTCTGACAGTGGACTTGTTCAGTGCAGTATGTTTCCTGATTTTCTGGCTGCTGGTATAAAGAGCGTTGAGTGTGGATCCAAGTTAAGATGAAATAGTTGACAATTTCAGTCTTTTCTCCATCTCTCATGATGTTGCTTCTAGGTCCAGTTGTGAGGATTTTTGTCTTCTTGATGTTGAGAAGCAAGCCATAACAAAGGCTGTAGTCTTTGATCTTCTGCAGCCAGTGTTCCAAGACCTCCTCACTTTCAGCAAGCAAGGTTGTATGTCATGTGCATAATGCAGGTTATTGATGAGTCCTCCTTTGATCCTGATGCCACATTCCTC